AGGGAAAATTACCGCAATTCTCAAGAAATGACATTTAAGGGTTTCCATGTCAAAAATAAAGTATGACAGGCCGCAAACCAGGATACGAATTTCTGCGGTTTCAATACACTAAACATCGATCCTCCAGCCATGGAAGCCGTGCTTACGGGTTCTATAGACATACCGTCCGCGTTCCGGGCTCACAATCAGAGGCCGAAAGTTCCGAGTGTAGCACCCAGAGCAATCGAAACTACAGCTTTAGCACCCGGAAATTTCGGCCTCTGAGTCCGGAGCGGATGGTATGTCTACATACATAGCCCGTAACTTTGTTTTTCCAGGGTATAGTCTGGAATGGCAACAAATTATGAATTATGAATGGTCTGGAATTTAGAGGCAACAGAGATGGACTTCTGGCGTAGATCCGCTGGTATTTCCAGAAAGGATCACGTCAGGAATGAGACGGTACGGGATATCATGGATGCCAAGCAGACCATCGTGCATGACATTATGACAAAACAACTCATTTGGTACGGTCATGTCCAGAGAATGGCAGGAGACAGGTTGCCGAAGAAGGTCCTTGACTGGGTTCCTCCTGGGAGAAGACGCAGAGGGCGCCCAATGAAAGGTTGGAGGGAAGGGATTGAAGCGGAAATGTTAAGGTGCTCAATTCCCCAAGATTTGTGGTTTGAAAGAGGGCAGTGGAGGCTAGGAGTCGTAGAGCGCAAGGGAGTGCTGTAAAGCGACTTATATGTATGTATAGTCTGGAACGTCTTTGTAAATCAGAGACGGATCTTGCAGTGTCAATACAGATCAAGTGATCCTCCATAAAAACACTTAGCCATTAAGCTTATGAATGCCATAATTCTGTCGTGTGCTTCTTCGAGGCAAAGTAAATATTTTTATCCCCGTGGGTGGTTAAAATGAGGGGGGGGGGGGCGCTGTCCAGCGGTTGCAATTGTTTATTGAGTAGCCGGGACGGGCACACCGGACGCGCGGCGCGGCGTTGGCGGTGTCACGCAATTCAGAAGCAGCTACTTTCTTCGCCATTGTTTACGCATCGACCGGAGCTTCCTTATTGTTTTCCTGTGTTGGGTGTTTGTAAAAATCCCCATTCATGATCGCGGACGCCTTTTGTCCTTGACAATGTTACACGTTGAACAAGGACCGAGCCATAGTCTGCGCTGGGGGTCGTGTGTTTTGCGCTCCTGATTAAATTCCTCGGAATTTTCGCGTCGCACCGCCGCACAGTGGATCGAGTCAAGTGGAGAGGCTGGACACGAAATTTTTTACTAAAACTGCAACTTGTTAAGTTTATTCCGTCATATTTCAAATCTAAAGGGGCACTTTCCGAGGAAAATTTCACGAGAAAACTAAAAAAACCACTTGCAGAACCTCGAAGTCTCCTTTAACGGAGTTATAAGCGTTTAAAGTTTCCAAATTTTGTCCTAACTCTCCTATTGACTCGATCCATTGTATGTCAAATAAGAGCTTGGAAAATGGATAACTCAGAGCAGTGAAACCAATAGCTACCGTACCTTAGAGACAGCCAAGGGTGGTGAAATTTCATGAATTTTTGCATCTTGAGATTTCTCGTGAAATATTTCTTGAAGTTTTCAAAATACATGAAATACAGTGGAACATTATGTTTCAATTTTAAAAACTGAGGATTAAAACCTGCAATTTTTACTTCCTGCCGAAAATGAGGTAAAGATGGATTATTCCTTTACAGGCTAAGGCCTTCCAGAATAATACCATCATAAAAATTAGGACCAAAACCGATTGAATCCTTTTATTTGTAGGATTGAAATACGATTTCCTGGTAAGGTCCTAGTGAAGGTATAGGCCAGACTATCGCGTATATTCCAGCAATCATCATCATCATCTCAGCGGGAGATTGCAGGCTCCGATCTTCGGTGCCTTAATTGAGGACTTCTTCAATAAAAAGGCGAATGAGGTTTAGAACGCTGCTAAGATTGTGCAACGTAGTTTATTCATTCCTAGTAACCTATTTGGAGGCTCCCAGTAACCTATATTGAGAGCTCTGAAATGAATTTTTCTGTGAATCAGCTTTGAATGTTTATCCTAATTTCCTAATTACTGTGTGGAAGTAAGTAGACCCTGAATGAGTTTCATTTGCTGCAAATGGTATGAAAAATTGCACAATCCTATTCGTGTTGCAGGCCCCGTACACCTTTTTACCGAAGAAATCCTCAATTCATCACCCTCCGGCCAAAGTATCACAAACGCCATGGAAAGTTTCAAAATGTCCGTCGCCATTTTATTTTTTTCACAGAGGAATTGTTGGTTGAATCTTTGGAAAATTTAACTGAATTTTATCGGCAGTACAAAAGAAAATTCAGTGAAAGTTTCGAACAGCTTCGTTGAACAATTTCTATGTTAAAAAATAAAATTGTGGCGGAAATTTTCAGATGTGGCATGGTGCTTGTGATACTTTGGCTGGAAGGTGACGGTATGATGACAACAGTTTCACATCCCTTGAACTATGCATGTCAAAGGATTGATATCATCAAGAGAGACTAGTCATAGATAATAAATAAAGTGAAGAGTGCGTTTACTTATTTTGATAGTTTTAAGCAAATTAGTTCTATCCACATATAAGGTATTGAAAAAAGAACCTACAGTACTCTAGTGCTGGTAACGAATGTTCGATAAGGATGCACGTGAGAAGGACTTTCAAGGAGACTTTAACGCAAGGCTAGAAACATAGAGGCCAATTTCAAACTCTGAACAGTGTTTTCGAACAGCTTCGTTGAACAATTTCTATGTTAAAAAATAAAATTGTGGCGAAAATTTTCAAACGTCGTATGAAGCTTCTGATATTTTGGCCGGAATGTGACGAATTGCAAACTCTCTTCTCACCGCTACAGTATGAAATACTGATTTTAAATGCAAAATCCCAGGCCTTTTTTTCAGCGTTTTTGGAGGTCCATCAACTGTTGAATTCTTCTTGTCGAGAAAAGATTAGGATCGGAGGAATTAGCTCGGCAATAACGGCCATTCCTGGCAGGAGCATCAATACCATCAGCCGAGGCACCCATCTGGGAGCTCAATCGGCCGTGACGGGGGGCAGAAGAGCAAGAGGAATTAGGAGATGTGGGTTATCGGAAGATACACACTGTGATATTGACTGGATGGATCTCATTCTTCACCTCGTGTACCTCCATTTTCCGTCCCTAATTAAGCTGATTAATGACTGATAGAGATATTATTAGAAGCTCGCTAATAAGTGGGATGGGGAGGGGAGCTTAGCGGAATCCAGAATTATCCAAGCTAGCAGCCTCAGGACGAACACTTTTGCCGCGCGGAACAATCTTGAACTTGCTTTGTGAGAAAACCAGGTCAATACGATGAAATTTGTTTTACCGAGCTATGCGAGGAAGCGGCACCATAAGTCGCGTTGAGTAACGTCATCTGACACTTCATTTTCTTGTATATTACTTCGTATAATGAAACATATAAAAAAGAGAAATATAGAAAAAAAGGTTATTTAAGCTCAACTTGTTGGGAACTTCGTACAATATTATAAAAACTGACCGTGAAAACATGCATTCATCTATGCAGAATCAAATAGTGGTGAAAAAAATGCTAAAATGGGGCAGTTGCGCTAGTCACAGCATTCTATTTTGCTTATTTTCGATTATAGATCTGTAAAAAATCATAACATCTGTCCATACACCAAGTTTTTACGTCCAATCTAAACAAGGGTTTGCCCTTAAAAAAAAAAAAAAAAAAAAAAAAAAAAAAAAAAAAAAAACACGGTGTTTAATGGCATCCATCGCGGTGGTGCATACTATGATTTCCTCCACCTTGATTACAGCCATACTCAATTTCAGGAATCATAGTGTAAAAGTGCGCATCTCTTATTGATTTATCCAGTATAGAAATATAACCATGGCATGTGCTATCGCGATGGATGGCATCATACACAAATGTTTTTCAAAGGATGACTATGAACAGTTCTTATCATTTTTTTGCCAATCTATCAGCATGAACCATCAAAATGCAATTCTGTGGCTAGATTAGCCAATCATGTATCCCCATGTTATCATTGCTTGCCCCTTGCACGGTATAAAGAGGCACTAAGCAATAATCTAATGTGTGTGAAATATGAACTTTCGAGAAAAAGATGCAGAAAATTTAAAATAACTTCAACCGAAACTCTTTCATTTATGAGCAATCACACTACTTAAATAAATGCTGTATCATCTCTTTTCCGGCACAAGATATTTGAAAAAAGAATTGGTCTCTAGGATTTACCTCTGATATAATTCTATGTCGCATGCCAAACCGCTTTAGATCGATTTCTACCCCCAGCTGGTTGTCGAAAGACATTTTCTAGAGGCAGTGTTCTTCGTCAGCAATGATATCGGCTGGGAGGAAATGTGCAATTTTCTGAGTAGATGCACATGATTGAGTCTCTTGACAGACGTCTAAATCGCGGCTCCATCAAGACTGTTTTCCCTTTCTTCGGTTATGAGATCGGATGACATAAATTATGTATTGTTTCATCGTGCCAATGATACTATTGCATTTACATGCACAATTATACTGCATTTTATTACTGATCTTTTGCAAACAAGTCGGTTTTCGAATTTATATTGAAGACTGAACAATTAAAGAACTAACTGATGAAAATAAAATGCAAATTCAAAGGTTTATCTAAAAGGCTCTCTGATTCAAATGTTGTTTGAGTAAAGTGTTTTAAATTAGCTGACAGTCAGGTTCACTAAAAATTCAACAATGAACTTAAGTCTGAACCTCTTTTATCAACTTGATTCTGAAGGTAAACTTTGATGGATGGAAATATTGGTTTATGCTACTTCCACTTTTCCAACAAAATTCTGCGTAGTAATTTAATTTTACACAGACACCAGACACCAAGAGTCAAGATTTGTAAGATCATAGTTTTCTAAGAAGGAAACTGTAAGAATTTCGAGGTCATTCTTAAGAATTTTCAAGAAGGAGGAAAATTGCCACTATAAAAGTGTAAATACAGCTGATAAATGTACAACTTATATCCATTTTAGTCGTAACATTACTTAAAACTATCAGTACTTTGATTAGTGTAACATAAATATTAAAGTAACAATATATTTATACCTAGATACAAATGCACATCAAAAATATGAGAGTAAATGAGAGAAATTAATGATTTAAGTCCTCATGTTCAAAGTCACAACTGGTATATAGTTTTATGAGGTAATTATAAATTAATCAAGTCTGACCCACAAACAGCTAGACGGAGGAGGGAGTGGGAAGCTGATTCTGGATTAGATAACTCAACTGGTCACTTGAAGCCTCCCTTTATGCTTTTGTTCCATACACTGTCCAGTGTCCATGCTGGTATAGGGAAAGTCCGCATAGTACGGACCCACAAGCGTAGGGACACCGATCAACACTTGAATGCTGGAGTCTCGAAAGTAAAAACTTCAACAGTTATTAAAATACCAATGAAGGATCGCTTCTTGTCTCCGGTTTTTGGTAGAATACCTTTATGGGGAGAGTATGGCCACTTCGGTTACCACCCCTGATTGGCTCAGCCATGTTAGGCTGAATAGAGTCCTATAGGGCCCAAAAATGGTGAAAGCTGTAAGTATATGTAAGTACAAAATGACTCAAAATGTAGTTTTTTTGCACATCGCAGCAAGAAATTTACTTGAATGCATTATTACGACGTACTTACACAATTTTACGGCTAATCATGTGCAATTTTCGAGGAAAATAATCTAAGATGTTGTTAGGTTGGCAGCAAGTGTGGTTGATGATCACGAGGTCACCATCTCAGAAACCAAAGCAAAGCGCCGCCATTTTTGGGCCCTAAGCCTCTCCATAGGGCCCAGTGGCCACACTCTCCCTAAGAAGATATTCTGTAGTTTTTGGTTGTCTCTGAGAGATTCCGAGATTGCGCATACTGACCTACTGCAATACGAGGCGTGCTAGTTGATGGTGTTGACTTGAGCATGGTAGACGACGCCGGAGCCGGGGTGTCCGTGGGCGGCGGAGTAGTGGGAGACGGGGATGGGGACAGGGCGCGGGACGCCGTACTGGGGCTCGTAGTCGAGGGCGTCGAAGTACTGGCTGCGCCGGTAGTGGTCGCCGCCGGCCTGGGCCTCCGAGACGGCCTCCACGTGGTGCGGCTCCACGGCGATGCTGGACGTGTGCGAGATCATCGGCTTGGCGATGATCTCGTAGGTGGTGCTCCCGTGGGTGTAGCCGGCCCCGTGCCCGTGGCCCTTCCGCATCTGCAGCGCCGAGATGAGCAGCGACAGCATGGCCGCCATGAAGGCCTTCACCGAGAACGCCATGATCGTCTTCATGCTCATCACCAGGAGCGTCGAGCCGGCCACCATCCCGGCGTTCTTCAGCGCGTTCTTCATCCCTTGGTTCTTCTTCCGACCTGGGGACAACCGGTGTTCCGATTAGAGACATTCAAACGCTTCAAAAATACACTAAAAAAAAAAAAAAAAAAAAAAAAAAAAAAAAAAAAAAAAAAAAAAAAAAAAAAAAAAAANAAAAAAAAAAAAAAAAAAAAAAAAAAAAAACACATTGGATCTAGAGTCCAGACTCTTGAAAACATTGACAAGAAAAAATACTCTTGATTCAATCAGATTATTGCTTAAATCAAGAACCAAGCCTCTTAATTTAAGCGGATTTCCTTTTGATTTAAGCCTAAATCTGATTGAATCAAGAGTCCTTTTTCTTGTCAATGTTTTCAAGAGTCTGGACTCTAGATCCAATGTGTTTTATTTTTCCAGTGCACTGAAAAAAAAAAAAAAAAAAAAAAAAAAAAAAAAAACTACGACCGTGTGAGCCGGGCTCACGGGATGTATAGACATACCGTCCGCGTTCCGGGCTCAGAAGCGAAAAGTTCCGAACGTGGCACCTGGAGCAATCGAAGCTACGGCGCCAGCACCCGGAACTGTCGGCCTCTGCGCCCGGAGGGGACGGAATGTCTATAAAGCCTGTAACTTTTTTTAGTGTATACGCGGGATAGTTGCACCTAAAGGCTCAAAAAAAAAATAAAAAAAAAAGAAGAGAAAAAACTCATAAAGCACATTAGAGTTGCTGTGCACGGGAACGCTCTTGAAGTCAATTCTTATACCTCCTGGCCGCCAGTTCGCCAAAAGTATGAACCAACTGTGACTAACACGGCTTTTTATGGAGAAATCGCGAGCTGTCAGTGTTTTTCGGGAGTTATCAATTTGAATCGAGAACTCCAGAATTTTATGTAAGTGAGTTCATAACCTGAACCCCCTGAGGGTAGCCAGGAGCTAGGAATTCGAGCATACGACAATCGGCTGTCGTCTCACACTAGTTGTAGGAAAACTGGACAAAACAGCCTCAAAAATTGACTTCATCCGCGGCGCTCCAGTGAATAGAGACTCTAATGCACTCTATGTTTACACAGCTAGAAGATTAAATAGACTACACTCTCCAAAATGATAACAAAAAAAGCTGCTTAAAGCTATGTTTTCTAGAAATACTTATTTTTGTACGGTGCCTTTGGTAAGGTCTTTGAAAGTTTAAGGTCACAAAAGTGAATAGATGTTTGATTTCATCCTTGCTGAGAGGAAGGGCAAATATATTATCTGTGAAACTGGGCATCTTGGAGACTTGAACGCAAGAGTAGAAATGTAGAGGCGTCTAATTACGGTAACGACGCACTATGGTCCAAAACTCAAGAATAGGAAGAAATAAGTCAGATAATGATTGATAGATCACGAAAGTTTCGTAACAGATGTTTTTTGAGTCGCTAATTTTGAATTTGATGTCCAATTTCCTGCATTATTACAGGCAATCGGCGGCGCGGCGTGCGGTGAGCTCGGAACACACATCGGCGCCTACAATCCTAAGGGGATACTTCAAGCATTGCGCAATGCGTGAAGTATCCCCTTAGGTATGTAGGCGCCGATGTGTGTTCCGAGCTGGAAGCATGCCGCGCCGCGACGCGGCAACACTTTCGTTTGTTCATTTTAGAAGAAGGAGAGGGGTAAATAAAATTTCCTGAAAATCCTACAAATTTTCTACCCTACTTCACTATACCATAATTCATTAACGTTCTCTTATTACGGATAGTTTTCAATTATTTGCGTTGGAAAAAGTATTTTTTTGTTCCCTCCAGAGGCGTTCTGGATTTGAACGCTAGACAGCGTAAAGTACCAGTTAAAATATTTCCCATAAAAATTACATGCAAAACACATGGATTTATCGAGTATCTCATGTATGACTTCAAAAATATCGAAGTGCCAAGTTAATGGGGGTTAAGGGATCTTAGGAGGTCCAAAAAGAGAGAATGAGCCGATTTTTCCTCTAAAAGATCCAAAACTCCCTGCCCCCCCATTCAAGATTTCGATATTCTCAGGTGAGGGACGCATTGAACGATAGATCATGCAGACCATTAATTTAGTCCATGGCTATAACCGTCGCCAATTCAGGAAGAAATATTTATTTCCCAAACATGACCAGAGGGTCGGCTCATGTGGACTTTTCTCAGCTAAATGGAACCAGGGACAGGTGGCAAGGAAGGAATGTGCTCGTTGCTCGAGAACCGTAAGAATGAATGGTAATTATAAAGCGTCAGTGACGTCAGTGGCAACGACGGGAGCGAAGATCCGCGGATCTGAGTCTTTGACTCATGAGCCCTGTCCACGACGCTCTTTTCTCATGCCCATGGTTCGCGTGTGCCGCATACAGTTGGCACTTATTGTTATCGGCATAATTTCCTCAACGGGAATTACATCCACTTTAACATTGGTGTTTATCTACCTCACCACGAGCGCACTCCTTCTGTCCCACACTGGAAAAAAAACCACATTGGATCTAAAGTCCAGACTCTTGAAAACATTGACAAGAAAAATGACTCTTGATTCAACCAGATTTAAGCTTAAATCAAAAGGAAATCCGCTCAAATTAAGAGGCTTGGTTCTTGAATTAAGCTCATATCTGATTGAATCAAGAGTATTTTTTCTTGTCGATGTTTTTAAGAGTCTGGACTCTAGATCCAATGTGTTTTTTTCCCAGTGCACACGTCTCTGGTTCCGTGTAGCAGAATTACGTCCATACAGATTTCTGAATCGTATAAATTCGGCTCGTGAACCCGATATATAAATAAAAAAAAAACGCTTTGAAAAGCAAGGGCCGTACCTTTCTTACCTCTGATTGTTTTGTACAAATCCGACCAGATGGAGGTATCGAGAGTCTTGCCGGTGGCAGGGTTGTCGTCGAAGAGACGGAAGTGGATGGAGGCGGAATTGAGCTGCGATTTGATCTTCTCGTAGAAGTATTTGTCGAACTCGGCCGTTTCGTTCTCCTGGGCGATGGAGCGCACCACTTCCAGCGGCACCTGGCCCTTGCCGCCCGCACCTCCACCGCCACCCTTGGCCCTACCGAACTTGAGCGAGACTCCCGGCAGAATCTGGTAGGAGTTGTTGTGAAGAGAGTTCACGATCCGAAGCACGTCCAACTTCAGGCAGGACCCCGAGTAGTGTCGAGCGCAGTGTCGAGACAGAATCTGCTCAAAACATACCCGCATGAAACCATGTGATCCTAAAAATTAATCTGTTTTGCAGTGGCGTGGCGTGCTTTGCGATATATCGATTGTTATGCCATTTAAACCTATGGAAAAGGATCGATAAACAGGGTGTTTGCAGCGAATACCTTAATAATCGATTCTTTACCATAGTTTTAAATGGCATAACAATCGATACATCGCAATTCACGCCACGCTACTGAATGGACCACGAGACAAGGTACGCAATTTAGCACAATATGTGCCTCCTGATCGGAATTTTACGTAGAGCACGATGTACACATTAAAACTTACTAAGTTAGCGCGGGACGGTCTTAGACAACATTAATTCTCGTTTCCCTGATAAAAAAAAAAAAAAAAAAAAAAAAAAAAAAAAAAAAAAAAAAAAAAAAAAAAAAAAAAAAAANAAAAAAAAAAAAAAAAAAAAAACCAGAGTCTTGTCGCGTTAAAGCTAACACTAAACTAATCTCGGTATCTTTTAATAATGGAGGAATTTTTCTATTTACTATTTTTTTTTGGCAATAAGATTGAAAGTATTTTGTATCATAAGAGGGACGAAATTTGTGTGAATCCATGCTTCAATAATTAGCCGAACGTATAAGTTGATTTGAAATATGCACAGCGTAGCAGCCCGTGACAAGACACAATAAATTGCACTCATTATAAGATGTGGGGAACAAGTCTTTAAGAAGGCTAATAAAATGCAATAGAAAATGTTTTTTTATAGACTTGTTACCCCGCATCTTTTATTGTGTGCAATTATAAGTTGATTGCAACGCCAAAGGCGAACGTTGGTTATGGTTTCATCGTAAGTGAACCCTGGTAAAAATTGGCAGTAGAATCTGTGTACCAAAATACCATAGACCTACAGCCGGCTGTAAGATTTTCAATAGCTTCTATAGCCGGCTACTTAATTTCTTATAGCCATTTATAGCCGATGGCGATTAAGCAACAGCCAGGCGATAAAGTGTATGCTAAACGTTACTAATTACGGATGCTAGGACTTGGTGAGTTTTAAGACTATACTGCTCTCTTTTTGGGCCGTGGTATCTAGATTTATTTTGCGAGAAAAGCTCCGTACTTTTGATGGATGCCTGCCATTCCTAATATATTACAGCGCCTTCACTCTCGTATGATACTGTGCAATACATCTGGTATGAAATAGTTGCTTCAAGCGCCGTGGTACGCTGCGGCGCGGCAGGCGGGCGGCTAGCGCGGAACGCGCTTTGGCGCCTACAAACCTAACAGGGATACTTCAGGCGTTGCGTAATGCGTGAAGTATCCCTGTTAGGTTTGTAGGCGCCAGTGTGTTGCCGCTCCGCTTTGTGTGAGGCTCTAATATTTAATCTGGCGGAGTCAGCGTTATTCAACTCATGATTTTGAAATGTTTGCACATCCTGTATGGATTATTCTTGTTTTATTGATGAAAAAAAATATGTATTAAAGGAAAATATAACGTGTGTTTTGTAAATATTAAGATGGTTCCGTATCAAACTTAATGATTTCCAAAGCACACGAATTTCTACACAATTTCTTATAGCCTTTTATAATCGATGGCGAAGAAGCAACAGCCAGGCGATAAAGTTTAAAGCCCGGCGATAGGAACTATAGCCCGGCTGCATAATTGTTTATCACTTCGTATAGCCCGGCCGTATGATTTTCTCCGCATTATACAGCCAGCTATATGATTTTCTGTAGCCTTTTTTAGCCGGCTATAAGAATTCCTATGGTGTTTTGAAACGCAGCTCTTATCGCCAATTTTTACCAGAGAATGGTTTGAATTTCTTGTTTACAGAGCAAGTAATGTACACTGGAAAAAAAAGAAAAAAAAGAAGAAGAAGAAGAAAAAAACACATTGGATCCAGAGTACAGACTCTTGAAAACATTGACAAGAAAAAATACTCTTGATTCAATCAGATTTTTGCTTAAATCAAAAGGAAAGCCGCTCGAATTAAGAGGCTTGGTTCTTGATCTAAGCAAAAATCCGATTGAATCAAGAGTATTTTTTCTTGTCGATGTTTTTAAGAGTCTGGACTCTAGATCCAATGTGTTCTTTTTCCCTGTGTGTAAGTTCACAACCACATATCTTGTTTGCGGTGTTTGACAATCTCCGCTATAATTTATTTTTTTAAAAGGAGATCAAATTGATATTATTCATTGAATTTTTTGCAGAATTTCCTTCACACAGAGAAGAATAACCATGTCATTTTTTTTAAGAACTACCGTTGAGTAATTTTCTATTTAAAAAATAAAGTATGACATGAATTTTGCGACGTCGCAAACTGAGATAAGTGGTTGCGGACTCCCACCGTCGATATTTTGTAATTATAGAGACCCTGATGTACTTACAATTTGAATAGTAAGTGATCCAGAGTGAGGCACCCATAAGTAAATCAAAATCAATTTTCGACTTTAATAATTTGTACGCAACTTTTTAAATATTTGATTCACAGGAAAAAAACACATTGGATCAAAAGTACAGACTCTCAAAAACATCGACAAGAAAAAATACTCTTGATTCAATTGGATTTTTGCTTAAATCAAGAACCAAGCCTCTTAATTTGAGTAGATTTCCTTTTGATTTAAGCAAAATTCTTATTGAATCAAGAGTATTTTTTCTTGTCAATGTTTCAAAGAGTCTGGACTCTAGATCCAATGTGTTTTTTTTCCAGTGTGGGACCGTGAATCAATTCCTCTGTGAAGTTTATATTGTCGTAATGCATCGTTTATAGTCGATGCCGTAGTAAACTATCATCCTTTTAGTATTAGAGACAACGTTGGGTAACCAAAACAACCCTATTTTGGTGTTAATTTGAAAAGAGGATGTTTCACTCGTTAAAACACGAAGTTAAAAATTCTAATAAATATTCAACTCACTTTTATGAGCATTTGATATTGACTTCGCATTTGATCGTCAGTCAGATTTTCGGATGTTTCGTCGTGCTGCAAGGTCGGGGGTGTCGTTGGCTCAGCATCCACTCGCAACGAGTCCCTCGCGGTCTGGTTATGCTCGCAGAAAGCCCGCAAAGGTGCCCCGGCCAGTAATATGACAACTTGAATGCAACAAAATTCAAATTTGCGCGCGAATTCCATCACGATTCTGGCCGTCTGCGGTTCAAACCATGGATACACCTGTTTGTCACTTGATACCGGTTGCGTCTTGAAAGTTGCAGGGGCAGATTAACATAATCGATTGCTCCATAAGTTTTTGAGATTATCTTTGAGATTACACTTGCAATAACGCAAGTTCAGTTAGAGATTCATGTGAATAAACGTTAATTTTATCTGCTAAAATTCGTTCTTAGATGTCACCTTTCGGAATTATGGCAACACCCGACAGTGAAACAACTGCATCCAACTTTCATAAGATTTATCCTGTTATGATATCTAGATTTAAAGAAATCTATCGATTAATCCATAAATCTGTGCGTATGATGGGCACAATTGAGCTTGGAGTCTTTTCCCACTAAATACGTGCAAAATTTCTCCAAGCAATACCGAGAATAATCATTAAATTACACGTTTCGGGTCAGTTTCAGGAGAATCAATCTCACCAAAGGGAAAGAACAATAATGTTTGAAAAAAAAGATGATTTACGCCGAATGATTTACTCACTTCCGTTGAAATAGGCTCGGAATAATAAACTAAACATAGAATTTATGACGCTACTTGTTAAGATTCGATCAGTAAACCAAGTACCACTAAAATCAACACATTTCAATTTTTGCACTTAATATTTCGCGTTGATATAGACAATTTCAACTTGGGGCAAATCACACTTGTAAACATTCCTGTCTAGCCCGTCTGAAAAACAAGCTCTTTTCAAACCGATTGACAAGGTATGGTACGTTCAAAGCTTTTGGAACAACCGTTTTTGGCCCCTTAAGACGACGGACGTATATTCCGTAATCCTCTACGACAGTATACGATGAAACAGGCAAATAAGGGCGTGTAAATAACACACATGAGATTGAAATTTCAGCCACGAATGCGATTCCACAATAACACAAGCCGAAATCTGCCGAGCTATCGCGGCTCGAGAACACGTTCGTCTTCACTCACACTTTGCAGCATGACTGACGCTAATTGCACATTTTCATTTGTGTAGGTGTTTTGGGTATAATTGTTCGGCTTGAGTGGCCCCTCAGCCCGGGGGGTGAGGGCGGGAGCAGGGGGTAAGAGAAAAAAGAAGAAGGAAAAGAGGGATAGTGACGTAGAAAGAGACATCAATGATCGACACTAATCGGACCTCGGACGCTAAGCTATTCTCGATCTCATTCTTATTTCGTTTGTCTTCTTCAAATCTGCGAATCAAGACTCTGGTCATCGGACCGCTGCCAAACTGCACCGGAAAACTGGCTCGACGGACAAATCACGGAAAAATGGATTGATGGTTTAACAATTCAATTGTTAACAAAATCTGTTAGACATGTTTCAAATGTACCTTTTACAATATTAGAAAGCTAATTTGACCACGGGGGTGGCTAAATTAGCATTTTTTTGGGTGCTAATTTAATAACTAAAAATGAAAAATTGGGACGTCTCGCAGTTGTCTTACTTACATTTTCAACCGAAAATACAAAAAGAAAAATTAAAAAGAAACTCATACTTAATCATTTCCGAATATCGACGGTGAAATTACCAAACCACGTATCTCGGTTTGCGACGTCGCAGACTTCCTGTCATACTTTATTTTTTAACTGAAAAACTACTTAACATCCAATCTTGAAAATTTCTGTGATTTTTCCTCTTTGTGCGGAGAAAATTCCGTGAAAATTTCAAGGAATGATATTGATTTGGTCTACTTCAAAAAAATAAAATGTGAGCGTAGATTTTTAAACACCGCAAACGAGATACGTGGTTTGGTAGTTTCACCGTCGATATGTGTTTTTGCCAAAAAAAACTTGTTCCTCACCAAAGCTCGTATGCTGTAACAAACGGTGACAACTCTGGCAGCTTTTTTAGTTGTACTAAAATCATAA